GAATATCAAAAGAAACAATCATGTCCACAAGGCTACGTAATAAGTTCCCTTCTTTTTAGAGTTCGTAAACATTTTGTGCACTGAAAATATACAAAACTCATTATCGACCCTTTGCAAATGACATTTCTGTTCGTTATTCAGACAAATCTTGGAAGCAGGTATGCACATTGATACGAGATGCCCTCGTGGTGACCCAGCCAAAATTAACCTTTATGTTGAATGTTTACTCTATGTTGGCCCTATGTTGTTCTTGATCCCTAATGATATCAAATGTGTAATATAACTCACACCATTTTCCAAAAATTCGTGTGTTGGTTTTTTTTGAGTATAAGGCTAGGAACATTTATATAATTGGTATCTGCCATTTAAAAAAGAAAATCCTTAGTTTTTTCGTGTTTGTTTGAGCTGTTTTTTTTTTCAATTTTTAACTGTTTTCTTTCTCCACGGTTTAGTATTGTTATGTTCCCTATTCACTAGGTTTCCCTTAATCCATTTTTTCTCATTGTAATGCTGGCAGCCCTTAAACAGAATATATCTCGAAAGTTTTAGCACCAAATTAAGTTAGTTACATACGTATATTTTTCTTTTCTTTTTTTCTGTGTAATATGTATTAGGGTAGTAAAGTTGGTTAAAATAAATATATACCTGGAACAAAAAATCACGAAGTAAAGCAGACACTGTTATTTAACTTAAAAAATCAGCACATTGCCTGCCCAGATAATTTGTACGTAGTCAAGAAAAAAAGTGACAAAATGAAAGCACTAAAGAAAAAATTCAATGGTGTAAACATTTGTGTAGAAATGTCACTTCAATTTTATTTTGTTATAGGAAAAATTTGATACATTTCTACCAGCTTCTACGGCTAATCAGATAACATTGTTTTAAGTTATACTATATGTGTCAAAATTATAGGTTTTGTACCGCTAAAATTTTTTTAAACGCGCAGAGACAAACTCAAGGGTCGAAAACAATTTAACTGGCTTAAGGAGCTTGTAGATAAATCAGCTTAGCTGTGGAATTATATGGAGAGGGCTATTGGGCTATCTAGGATTGCTCGAATTTGTGCGCCCCTAATCTTCAGTATTTGCACAATCTGAAACTTTTCCTCTTAGGATTTACATATATTACATCACATCCATAACGTTCGTGATTAATCCGAAATGCAAATTACAATTCTCAATTGTAATGCATTGGACAATTTATATTATGGTTAACTAGATGTCAGGCAGATTGTGAGTACTGTGCCTGATCGGTGCCAGGTAAACGGTTTTACAAGTTTCTTCATCCTTTTCATTCTTATTTGATGGTATATATACAATTTTGGATGTCATAAACAAAAAAGCACGACAAAACTTCGAGTTTTAATGGATTACATCTCATTCACCCGATCGTTAAACAATATTAAATTATTTAAAAATGTAAAAAATATTAACTTCCATTTACAATTTGACAGCTATCACTTCAAGGAAAATTACCATTTAATACTTTAAACTGTACGGGATATTTTAAAATGAAGTTGCGCAAATTGGAGTATAATCTTTCTGTACTATCCAGCAACTCTTTAATCCTCATCTTATCAGATTTTAATTATCTTTAATAAAATTAGATAACAGAAACTCTTTCGCCTGACATTGATATAATTGAATATAATTCATGGGTTTAATTCTGTTATATTTAATTGCATTAAATGACGAAATTAAATTTAAAAGTTATTTAATTTAGGTAAAAAATAAAAATAAAATTAATTAAGAAATTAATTAAATGACGCAACTGTTTTACATCTACGCTTTATTGTTAATAGATTATTTACAGACCAAACTTTTTTTTATTAATCCTCCGGAAATATAGCTTCAATATACAATATTTTCGTAAAAAAATTCTCTGTTATTATTATTCAAAAGACTTCATCACTTTCAATTATTTCTATTAAGGTAAACGTTGAACGTCCTTTACAGTTTTGGATTCAAAGTTTCTTTGAAATTGTCAAAATTGGTAAACTGGTCAAAAATGACAAAAATGTTTGAAAACAAACGCGAGACACTCCCTCTCCAAAGCTCGCTCATTCTCAAAAACACGCCGACTAACCAGTGACTACCCTTTTGGTAGAACCAACGTTTTGCAATCCTCCCAGACAGGCTCATTAAAAGGCTTTGTTTTCCATGGTAGCTATTAGTCTCTGTCTTCACCATTTTGCATTTCTTGAACTTTTCTTTGCAGGGGAATCTTAAGCGTGCATGGAAGACAAGAAATATGTTGCTTCGACTTTAACATCTCATAATAATCGTTCAATACAGTTAGTATAATAATCATTACACAATTATGCAGTAATTAGTTACACACCTAATTAGGTATACAAAAGATAACCTTCTTACGACTGTTTTTTAAATCACCAAACAAGAAATGAACCCTGTGTGGATGTTTTCCTTGATGATTTCTTGGACATAACGGACTGTGGTGAGGTTGCCTTCAACAGTATGGAGTCCAGTTAGTCCTCCAGAGTAAATTCCAGCTCAGACCATTACACCGCTTCTTTCAAAATTGCACTGAAGGGAGCACGACGTGGGCATTGCAAGCATCCCCGGTTCTCGGTAGACTCTTCGGCGTTTGCTATCACAATACGGATAAACGCGACTCATCAGTAAACATAACGGCATTCCAATTGGTATTCTCTTCTAGGCGCTCCCTGCACCATATTCTCCTGAGTTCCTGGTGGCGGGCTGTTGCTACAGGTCGTCACAAAGGGGCATACGATGTGAGGCCAACTTCCTGCAACGATTACGAATCGTGATGATAAAGCATCACATCTTGAACATCATTTACGTTCTGGCAGGCACTGCGGAAAGGGTTCCGTCATGCAGCAATGATAATATTTCTGTCCTCGCTTTGCGTCGTAGTGCGCTGACCAGGCCGCTACCAGGCCACCTGTTGGCATTTACATTCTGCCCGGATGACCAAGCTCTGAGAAACGCCAACTGCTTCTGTGATATCCACTTGCCAGTGACCTCGATAATAATATTGCGAACTTCTGGTTCAAGATGATAGGGGTATTCATGATCTTTGTGTTAACCCTGTTAGGTCTTTCTGATGAACACATCTCTAACAGGCCGGACCCAATGTAGTCGAATATGTAGTCACTTTGCTATCGGTTAGGGCGTAGGTAACCAACATGGCAACCATGAATTTAACAGCTCTTTTTTGTTTACACGTATATTTATTCTTAAATACGCATTAATTAAATCAGACCAATACATTTCTTTTGTTAATGTCTGACCTGTCCTTATAGTCTCTTTCATAATAAATGCATCCCCTGCCTTATAAAGTTGTAGGCAGTTAGACGTTAGGACACAAGTTAGAAATGTCGGCAATAATTGAAGCGTGTCAAATGTCAGTACTTTTTGAGTGCATAGATACATTTTGAATGAAAGAGTCGATTAATTTTCTTTAACCTTTGTGCCCGGGAACACACAACACGATGACTCTCTTTCCACCATCATCGATCCTTTACCCTACGATATTTTCAGGTTATATATAATATAAATTTTAATTTTCTTGTACTTAAAACAACAGATTTCAAATTCGTGACTAGATGTTTCATATTTCCTAACACCTTACAATTTAACACAAAAGAAAACCAAAACAAACAACAGTAAGCCTTCAAGGTCTGTTATAGCTTTATTTGTGGTATTACCGATCGCCACGCTCAGCATTGCGGAAAAATTAACTTATAACATGTTATGAAAAGAAGGGGGCATTCACGATCTTACTGGACATTTCTCATTAACATCTTACAAACATCGTAAATACCCCAGAGGTCATTCCATTTTTAAAGAGAATACAACTGGATTAAAATGAAGAAAATACAGGAAAAAGTGTTTGTTTACAAAATGTGTAAATCACTAGTTTTCGTGGTTCGCTTGACCAATTAATATCTTTCAATTAATTAAGGGTTTTAAGTCGAAATAAAAAAGTCGCTGTCATGAGCGGGATTCAAACCCACGACCCTCGACTAGATACGCCGCTACTCTACCACCTGAGGAATCGCGACTTCGATCCAATTTTGAAAAATGGCAAAAAGGAGGGAAAATTCAAAAGGTAGGGTTGAGATGGGAAGTTAGTGTCCGAGCGGATCGAAGTCGCGATAGCTCAGGTGGTAGAGTAGCGGCGTATCTAGCAAAAACCTTAATTAATTGAAAAATGAGTAATCTACATGTTTACTATTTTTAAGTAAATCATTTATTTAAAATGAGAATTAACATTCGTTTGTTTTTGGTCTGTATTTTCTTCTTTGTTTTATCGAACTAACAAGAATATATTTAAGAATATATAGTTTAATTAAAATTAATATAATAAGAATAAATTACAAATATCCGTATTTATTTTTGAGTTTATATGGCACTGAGATCTTGAATCAGCGGTCAGGACGTGACGACGTGTGCTTTTAATGTGACTAATACGCAGCCTGGTAAGTATGACCTTTTACCTTTTAGACCCAGCTTCCGTAGGCCAGGGTCCGAGGTCTTTTTAATTTTAAATGATCTAGATGCTTTTGTTTTGGTCTAGTACTCTTTTCATTTTTCATTCAGCATGGGTGTGAGTAATTTTGGTGCCTTCTCTGTTTCATCGTATCCGGTTATTATTTATAACATTTGTGCCCGGGAACACACAACCTGAAGACTCTCTTTCCACTATCATCGATCCTTTGCCCATACGATATTTTCAGGTTATATATAATATAAATTTTAATTTTATTGTACTTAAAACTATAGATTTCACATTCGTGACTAGATGTTTTATATTTGCTAGCACCCAAAATGATTAACTATAGTTTCGTTTCTGAAAAACTCGACTAGGAAATTGAGTGATTTGTTATTTATTGTCCCATTCTTGATGGTCTTTTAATACCAAATAGAAATGTTGTGTTCTGAAGTAATTGTAACTAATTAACAAAAGGTTAAAAAAGCTATTCGTAAGCAATCAGGCATGTTTGTTTTAATACTCACCGACGACGTTGAGGTGGATGAAGTGGCTCATATGAGGCGTTGTGCTGATTTGACATTCGTAAATCCCCGTGTCTCTATGCTGGGGGTATTTAATCTGGAGACTCCAGTCTTCGGAGCTCTGGTGATGAATTGCTCTGAACCTCTGGTCAGACGTGTAAGTGTATCTCCCGACCGTAAGCAGGTGTATATCTCTGTGACGGACCCACGACACCTGAAACATAATATTACGTTTTTTTTTAATTTTTATTGTTTTTTACGAGGGTTCGCTACAGCAGAGGTCATATAAATCCTCAGGGTGCCGGTGTTTTTGAAAAAAAAAACCCGTTGGTAAGTATGTCGGGTTCGAATGCAGGGCCGCTGGATTCGAACCCGGGACATTTACTTTACAGTGATGAGCGCCGTGTCAAAGACTAAACCTTGCGGCCACCGACTCCCCTCTTACATTTTTAAATTAGATGAAATCGATAGAATAATAAAAAATGTAAAACGTATCGCGATGCTAAATACCACATACATATCTTTATTGTATGCATCACAATATAAATATTTTAAAAACAACGAGCATATTTCAAAAGCGTTATTAAACAATTTGCTAAAAAATGTTTACCTTCTCTTGACAGATATGAGCGACTAAATCCAGCATTTTCTTTCTTAGAATTCGTCGTGAAGGAAATGAAATTTTGAAAGAGTTTTTGTGAGTGATTGATGGGGAAGTTGATATCCATCAATGATAGAACAGAAACATCGCCGGAAAGTTCATTACATAAAATTAACTTGATTTAATAAATTTGTGTTAATACACGAGTTTGAGTACATTACATAAAAACGTGTGACAATGAGAGGGTGAAGAGAGGTAGATTAAGAAATAATGATGAGCCAAGTAAGAGAGAAAAACTGGCGGACATAGAGAAAGTAAGTTAGTAAGTGAGAGATAGATAAAGAGAGAGAGGGAGAGAAAGAGAGAGTGAGGAGAGAGTGTGTGTGTAATTTAAAAGCAAACATAGAAGAAATTTTGAGTTAAGTTTTAAAGGAGAACTAACTTAAATGGAATAAAACAAAATTATCCTGTGGATATAGTAGAATAAAAAATAGAGTACTGGTATATAAAATACATATATAACTCTTTTTCAAGATATTATCCTGTGAATTATAAATTAATATAAATATTTATATAATATTAGTAGTAATATAAATATTTGTAGTAGAGAAAATGCAAGTGTTGCATATGTTTCCATCTGATGAGTTTAATTAAATTTAAAATATATTTCTTCGGGGATTGTAATGATTCTTAGCAATTAGAGTGACCCAGTTATGAAAGCTGTCCCTAGATAAATGCTTATCCCCATCAAATGTATTGTATTCTTAATTAAATTTTCCTGGTCGTACGATTTGTGTTTTTGACAAGCCGTAAAATTTGCCTTTTGGCTCAGGTAAATGTGAATCGATCATTCGATTTCCTCCTTTATCGAATATCTCGACATATCATTGTTAATTAGTCTGTAAGGAGTAATGTCATTTTTAACTGAATTAATAAGCGGCAATTAACTCAGACATGACCAAATCAAATTTATTAGCGATCAAACTTGAAATATCTGTTGAATAAAAAGAAAGAGAACATGGGTTTTTATCGGCCAATCCCGGTGTAATTTCGTTTTTGACCCAAACAAAGGCCCATTTGTCACATAAATTTACTCTTTTCTGTTTATTTATTCACAATGAATGTAATGTATATTTCTCGAATGTAATACGAAAATTGTGACGAAGGGAAGACATCTTTTCACGAAATGATTTTTGTTCGGTTTTTCCTAACCCTCTGACCAACCGAGTCACTTCTTTGTTTTCAGCAAGCTATTTTTAGCCGGAGTAAGTCGGCATATGAAAAGTTTCTTAAAGTTCCTTTTGAGAACGTCCATATTTTATTACGTATTAACAAATATTAATAGCAAAACAAAAATTATAGTAACATCGGATGTACTACAAGGTGACTCATAAGGCCCCCCTTTATTCAAACGTTTTATTCGTGAAAAAACCCTGTTAGCGTTCAGGTCGTCTTTGAAAGGCTTTGTCTCTCAGCATCGATTCATCTCTTATTTTCAGTTTATATTCGAAACATTGAAAATTCATGATGTAGCTGAATGTATTTAGATTGCACGCGCACAAAAAACACACTCATTGCAAAAAAAAAGTATTTGTTTTAATAAACAATTATTATTAAATACCAGGAACTAAAAAATGATTTCAAGTTAACTAAAATATTGTACAATCAGTTTGTTAGCATGTGTACGAAGTTCTCAGCAGTAAATGAAGAACTACCCCAACGTACCCTAGTGCTGTCAAATATTCTGTATGATAATCAGTTTGGCACGGGCATGGACGTTGATATCCCCTCATACCTTACTGTCTGTCTTTAAAAATGCAGTGACTGCAAGGAACTGGAGCAAAGCGTTCTTCACGTCTTCTCCACACTCGGACCCAATCATCTTACGGCACAAACCAAATATGTTTAAGTATCCAAGCGGGATGCTGATTTGCGAATAGACGCTTTTCTACTTCATAACTCTCCAGTAGTAGATAACCTGATGTGGGACGTTCATAGACTAGGATTACGAAGTTTTACAGCCCACCCTCATATTACGGGCGTTTAGAGTTGACTAAATATGAAGGAAGCCGTTAAATGACGGTACCGTATTGCGGTAAGAGCAATAAAACGATCGTCCCTAGCCGTCGTACATCGCAGTTAATTTCTACCTTCTTTTTGATAGAGATTTCCGATGGCTCTATATATATATATATGAGGGCGACTCATCCAGGACTCGGGCTTTGTAAGGACTGCTACGTCCGCTGTTGGCTAATGCAACTGCCCAGGCGAGTCTTCTCGAATTATAACCAAACGGCCAAATTGGTTCTGGAAAGGATGAAATTGAAATGATTTTTTTTATTTTATATGTAAAGTTTGTAAAAGGATTAGTAACACTCTATAAAGGCCCACTGACCCTAAACGAGCTGTAAAAAAAATGATAGGGGATAAATGGCAGCGTCAGTGGACAGGGTCATCCGAGAGGCTCCTTCGTGTTGAAATCACTTGCAGATGGCCCCCGGAGGATCTGAGCCGTAAAGAAGGAATAGTTCTTGCCAGATTAAGAATAGATGCACATGGGCACTTGCTAGTGGGCCAATCACCCCGCACCTTATGTAGAGAAAGGTTGCTCGATGTATGCCACGGAATCGAAGCGTGTCGTGCCTTGGCCCCCTACAGGGCGTGAGTAAACATGCCGCCAGATTTAAAGGGGGTTCTCGGACACAGCAGCGAGTTTCAGGGTTCCCTGTTCCGCTGTTTAATGGAATTGGGAATTTTTAAATGTATATGGAAGTTAAATTATGTGTTTTGTGTTTCTAGGTCTTGTATGAGTGAATGTATTTATTGGTGTGAATGGAGAAGTGCTGACGGTGAAGTAGGTTCTCCACCGCCCCCGCAAGTTGTGCATGACAAGACCCCATCGATCCCAATTTAGATTAGTTTATTATAATGAACAGGTGGAGCAATATCGAGTACTCCACATACCAAACAGAAAGAGTGCGATCAATGTACAAGTGTGAATGTATTTATTTGTGTGACTGTGTATTTAGTGTGTGCAGCAGTATTTTACTTCCGCTCGGGGCTGAAATGACCTAGCTGCCGGATGCCCCTGCAAGAAAAACACTATAGAGGTAAACAACACGTTACTAATGTAGTGTTTACGTTTTAGGACAACTATTAACCTTTATATTTAATTACTATGAAAAATAAATACAAGTTTCCAGTTCTTTGCCTTTGAGTTATAGTTATATATTAGTTCCTACTATAATACTATAATCGATTACTGAAATAATTTTTAACAATTTACACAAAAAATTGAGAGGTATACCCAATTGAAAAAAAAATACGACTGGTACTGCCACAACCTTTAAACCGAAAGTCAAATCAATGGAATTGCGTGATTTGTTTTGAGTCGACGTTTTTTTAAATTCTCATTTACATATCTAAATTTGTTTGGATAATCGCTGGATTGACCCCGATTTGATACGATGAGAACAGTTCTGTAATTTAATATAATCTCAAAGCCAAAGTATTTGCCGTCGAGTCAAATGTAATTCAGCTTTATTATATGAATATGCTTATTAAAAAAATTAATAAAATTTATGTGTGGTGGTTAGTGACCGTTAATCGATAATTATTCAGAAATCGTGAGATGCGGTCTACAGTGATGTAGGTTTCAGGAAAACATTTGCTTTATCGTGCCAACGTTTCGATCTTTATTGAGATCATCTTCAGTGCTCAAAGTGTTTGTCTTCTGTGTAATTGTGCCACTCTTGAGTGTGGTGTCGTGTGCACTCTCAACACGACACGCAAAAATGGCACAATTACACAAAAGACAAACACTTTGAGCACTGAAGATGATCTCAATAAAGATCGAAAAGTTGAAACGAAAAAGAAAATGTTTTTCTGAAACCTACATCACACCAGACCGCATCTCACGATTTCTGAATAATAATAAAAATTATACTGCGTAAACATAATTTCACTTTGTTTTTTGCCAAGTCTGGGGATATCTTAGTATTGTATACTATTTTTTTTGTCAAGAAAAATAAAAAAAAATACTTAGACATATAAATAGACACAAATCAATTGACTGGCGGATTAGTCTGCGTATTTTACATACTTCTAAGCACATTTCTCGTCAGTTCGTATTTATGGTGGTCTTGTTTTCATGATGATAATAGGCTTTTGTTGTGTTTTGTTGTGAATTATTGAACTAGAATTGTGTCAAAATAGAGGTTTTTTACTTAAAAAAGAGTAGGTATTATATATTATTTGAAAACATTTTAAAAAAGAAATGTTTTAAAAATGTTATATTGATTCCCGACTCTTCAGTTTATATACTCACTCTCCTTCATTGATAATAAAGAAAATTGAAAAATTAAAGTAAATGTTATTCTAACGAAGTTTTTTAATATTACAAACTTTGAGATGCGTGGCGTTGAAAATTAACTGGTTACTGTTAAAAGAATTACGTTTAGAGGTAATAGTTTCCGACCTTTATGGTTTATAATGAACTAGGGCGGAACTTCTCTCATTTACCCAAAGTTAGAAGGTGGAATAAATTCAGGGAAGAATGCCGAGAATTTACGTGTGGCCGCAGGTGGACAAACATCCCCGGCCAGAGGGGATGATAAGTCGCTTTTTTGCTCTCGGCTTCTCGAATTTTATTAAACCGTCGGCTGAAAATGATTTCCACAGGATTTGATCGTCCACGGGGGAGGGGGCAGGTCGTCGTTCTACACGGCAGAATGTTGAAGTGGCTGTGTTACGGCATCTAGTCACGGAAACCCAAATCTTCGGCATTCCGACCGAGTAGGGCCACAGAGGACGTGAGATCACACACCAGTGCTTTTTCAAATGTAAATAAATCTTTTCTTAAAACCGCCGGATTCTCTATTGTTCATCATATTTCCAAAAAATATTTTACGTCTCTTATGATACAGAGTAAGAACAAAAACTGATAGACAAACCGTGGGCTATCAAGAAAAAAAATCGTGTCTAAAAATCATTAACATATGTACATAAACTAAAGACGTATGTCTATTTATTATCCCTCAGAAAATAAATTAAATTTTATAGAGAATTTCTATTTTTTTATGATTACTAAACAATCTCATAGATTGGTAGTACCAGTACTCTTTTTTTCTTGCTGATTTTACTCACATCTATGTACTTTTTATGCGATAAACATATCTGCTGAGTGTTGGGCCATGGGGTGAGACATTCACACTGTGTCTCCTTTGTACAACAATCATCATTAAAAAAATATATAGTTATCATTCCTTTCTACACTTATTTTTTAATTTTTAAAAGATTTTAAATCGTATATTTCCTAATATTGTGACGTCACGTTGTTAAAAAAATATTGCATATATTGCCGATTTTAAATAAAAACAAAAATAGTTTGTAATTATGTCTTCATCGAATGCAGGACCGCAGGTAGAAACCTTACAGTTATCAGTGCCGCATAAACAGTGTAGGCCACCCACCCAAAAAATAAAAATAAAATATTACTACAATAAAAAAGGTTAATTGTCAATATAGGAAAAATCGAAGAAATCGCATACCATATGCAAAGTAGGTGCAACTAATAATACCTCAATTTATAAGAAATATATTACAGTTAATTAATTGGTCAAGCGGACCACGAAATTAGTGAATTTAATGATTCAAAATGAAGTATACATCACTAAAGCTCTCCGAGGCCATTTTATTTGTCGCCGAGAATCCAAACCGATTACACGACATTTGAAAAATGGCAAAAGGAGGGAAAATTCAAAAGGTGGGGTTGATGTAGGAAGTTAATGTCCGAGTGGATCGAAGTCACTATAGCTCAGGTGGTGGAGCAGCGGCGTATCTAGCCGAAGGTCGTGTGTTCGAATCCCGCTCGTGCCATTGACTTTTTTTATTTCAACTAAAATCCTTAATTAACTGAAACTTGATTATTGTTCACACCTGAACAAATGTTGGAAAATTGTAAAGAGATTTTGCTAGTAATAATTTCTTTTATAATTGTCAAAGAACGACGTTACACTATGAATTTTCTATTTTAATTAGATAGATGGGCATATTGCCTTTACAATCTGAGGTTTTTATCAAAGTGCTTAAATATTTTATAAAGAAGGTTTTCTCCGTCGAAATTTGTGTACATAAGATTTACAAAGATATATTTTTTAAAGCTGAGTAAACCTCTATAAAATAATTGAAAATGACATGTAATGTAATTTTTCACAGAGATAAAAACATTGTTTCGTCATAAAAATCTAAAAAAAATGAAAGATTGTTATTCAGATATCGTGAGATGCGGTCGGGTGTGATGTAGGTTTCAGAAAAACATTTTCTTTATCGTGCCAACGTTTCGATCTTTTATTGAGATCATCTTCAGGGCCAGGGATTTACATTTAACAAATACATTTAGGATTTGGAAAAGTGAATTTATACAATGCAAAATATATTTTATATTCAAACAAAGTATTTCTACTCACTCAAAGTGTTTGTCTTCGGTGTAATTGTGCCATCCTTACGTGTCGTGTTGAGAGTGCCAGTGAGATTTTGCTGTTTTATGTTTATATATGTTTGGTTTTGAAGGGGTGCGGAAGGAAGTCGGTATATAAAAGACAATTTTGTGTAAGGCGTCGGCTTCTTTGAACTGAAAAGAGCCGACAAAGGGAAACAATGTGTTGGTAATAGTTCGGCCAGATTATCCTTTCAGGATTATATAGAAAGGAGATAAATAGGAAAAGGAAGGCTAAATTTTTGGAAAATTAGACTATGTGAATAGTATTTGATGTGTGGAATGTAATGTAATGATATATGTATGTTATCTATATTGTATTTGATTAATGATATTGGCGTAGCTGTGTCTGAGTTTACATGTATCTATTCTGTAATTGATCCTGT